CTCGCGAATCCGCAGCGTCCTTCGCAGCATCCTCCCAGGCCCGGTCCCCCCGCCCCCCCAACGCCGCACGGATGGTACGCTCCAGTCCGCCTGGCCCGGCTGCAGTGGATGTTGCTAGAACCCACGCGGAGGAAGGAAGAGACGCAGACAGGCTGCGGTGACCCAAGCGGCCGCCCCTGCCTCAGGGACCCGTTCCCCGAGAGACGGCACCATGACCCAGGGAAAGGTACCGGCATCTCCCCCGCCTGCACCATCCTCCATCCTCCGCCCCACCTCCCCGTCATCCTAAGCAAGCTCCCTGGACCACCAGAAGCATCCTCTCCTGGCTCTAGTGGGAAGGCCCTCTGTGGTCCTTGCTGCAGAGAACCAAAGGGCCCATTTCCAGGCACGGACCGGGACCTCTTGCGGGTTGCAGGCTCGCCTGGCCTCCCTGTCTCCCTTCCACCCCACGATTTGGCATCACCAGCCTCCTCACAGATGCCCAGGCCCTCTTAAGGAGTCACCCTGGGTATGGTTGTATGCATGTGCGTGTATGTGTTTGCCGGGGGAGCCCTGAGGGGCAGTGCCTATCAGGCATGCCCCTCCGGCCCAACCCTCCAATCTCAAACCCAACCACTTAATGCTCATCTTTTACACCGTCCACAGAAACATCCCCCCTCACCCCCCCTCCCCACCAACTCACTGCCATTCAGCATCTGAATGTCTGGATACATCTCCATGGTTGGGAGTTACTATGGCAACCCTGCATCGGGATGCGCTCATTTCTGTCTTGGTTTTGTCGGGGCATTGGGACTGGATGGGATGGGATAAAGCATCTCTTTTTTTCCCGTTTTAGGCCTGAATTGCAGGGGAGGAGGTGGGGCAGAGACTTGGCTGGCCTAGTAGGCTTATGTAACATCAATTGCCTGTGGAATTATACAACCACTAGGGCCTGGGGCAAGGGGGGGGTCCTCTGGCCCTCTGTTTGGGGGTGCTAAGGATTGGGAAGAGAAAACAAGAGAAGGACCTCCCCTATACTCCCCCTTCTTCTCTCTCAGATGAGCCTCAGAACCAATGGCATCCTTCCCTGGGCCCTCAAGCCCTCCTCTCCCTGTTTTTGAGCTCCTTGGGCCTTAAATGATGTCATTCGGTGATTCTACCTGCTGCCATTGGTCAGACCTCACTTGGGAATGCCATATGCGTGTGTGGAGGGGTGGGGGCTAGGGCCCAGGAGGCTCTGGGGGATGCTATGGCAGGGGGGGGGCTGAGGTGGACTCTGCTGCGTGTGATCCTTCTGACCTGGGTGATGAAGGAGTTGGGAAGAGGGAGGATGGCATTTCCACAGGCCTGGGCTCCTAGTCCCTGCGCCAGGCGGCCTGGGGACTGTTCATGAAACCCTCTCCCTCTGCTGAGACTCTCCTTCCACCCACCTCCTCCAGCCACTTTGCTGACGTTGCTTCCTTCTGGGGGTGAATGTGCTGCCTCCGCCTCCTCTGACCCCTGCCCCCGCCTTGCCCACAGGCTTCCTGGGGGATGGACAAGACTCCTCCAGTTCAGTGGTCCTCGGGCCTGGACAGGAACCAGAAATCCTCTGGTGCGAGCCCGTCTGCAGCCCGCTCCACTAGATTTCCCTGCAAAGAAGGGACAACAGCCTTCCTTGGCAGTCCCCCTGGTCTACACAGTCATTTGGGAAGTAGGCCTAAATCCCATTTGCTGAGGTCCAGCCTTTTGTTGCTGTTTCAGTTTTCACACCACCCCCTCCACCCCAGTCTTTCCTTCTCTGGCTGCATCATCTGGGCCCTCCCAGCCGATGTCCTCTCACCACAGCTAAACCCATGCACAGGATGTGAGGGAGGAGGGGGCCTGAGTGTAAATGGACTTGAGTTTTCAACCTGCCATGGACACGTTTCCCTCTGAGCCTCAGTCTCCTTTTCCATCCAATGAAGGAAGGGACTCAAATGAATGCCTTCCACGGGTCATTCTGTGATTCTGTTCCAGTCTGGGGGCAAGGCTGAGGTTCCAACAAGATGAGACCAGAGCAGGACCGGTAGCTGGGGTCTCTCGCCCCTCCTCCACCCTGCAGGTCTCTTGCGGTTGTTTTTTTTTTTTTTTTTTTTTTTTTTGAATCAAAATCTCGCTCTGTCCCTAGACTGGAGTGCAGTGGCACACTCAAGGCCACCACAGCCTCAACCTGCTGGGCTCCGGTGATCCTTCCGCCTCAGCCTTCCAAGTAGCTGGAACCACAGGCATGCACCACCATGACTGGCTTATTTGTTTATTTATGTATTTATTTATTTTAGAGCTAAGGTCTCACCGTGTTGCTCAGGCTGGTCTCGAACCCCTGAGCTCAGGTAATCCTCTCACCTCCGCCTTCTAATTTCCTAGGATTACAGGCATGAGCCACAGCACCCGGCTCTTTTTTCTCCCTCTCCTCTTCTCTTCTATGGCCAGTCTCTCCCCTGTCTCCACGTTACTCGCATCATTTATAGCCCAGCAGCAGGAGGCCAGTCCCCGTGGACAGTGCCTAGGCCCTATTGCCCAGTGGGCCATATGTAGCCCTGTGATCTTGGAGGATTCTCTCTTCCTCTCCCATCCTCAGTTCCCTCATTTTATTTATTTATTTGTTTATTTTTGAGTTGGAGTCTCACTCTGTCACCCAGACTGGAGTGCAGTGGCCGCTCCCGGCCACTGCAGCCTCGACCTGCTGGACTCCAGCGATCCTTCCACCTCAGCCTTCCGAGTAGCTGGAACTACAGGCACGTGCAGTTCCCTCATTTTAAAACAAGGGTCAAAGTACAACTAGCAAGAGATAGAAAGATTGAGAGAACCTTTCACTCAAGAATGTTCTTGAAGGTCTACCATGTGCCAGACCCCTCCCTGGACCCCAGGGAGATACTGGAACCAGAGAGGCCCCATCCCTGCCCCAGGGACAGTGATAGCCAATGGTGTGCATTTTCTTGAGAATTTTCTCCTCCCTCAGTTCTTACTCCAGCTCCACTGTGTGCCCCTGGCTGGCCCTGATTCTCCTGGAGCTCAGTCTCCTCATCCATAAAATAGGGAGACTCTTGACTGCACTCCTGTCCTTTCTGGTGCACACAAGAAAGGACCCATGGAGGTTTCCGGAATGGAAGGGCTGGTGAGGAGGAGCCGGAGGGCTCCCTTTCCCTGGTGACTGGCTCTCTCTGCCTCTATTCCACAGCTCTCCGTGGCTAACAAGGCCCCCGGGACTGAGGGCCAGCAGCAGGCAAACGGTGAGAAGAAGGAGGCTCCAGCAGTGCCCTCGGCCCCACCCTCCTATGAGGAGGCCACCTCTGGGGAGGGGCTGAAGGCAGGGGCATTTCCCCCAGCCCCCACGGCTGTGCCTCTCCACCCAAGCTGGGCCTATGTGGACCCCAGTAAGTATCTCAGCTCCTGAGGCGGAAGCATCAGGGGGAGTGGTGGGCCCAGATGGAAAACCTGGGTAGGAGGACGATGCCTGGAAAGAGATGCACTGTGTGATTGTATGAGACTATGTTGTCAAAGGCTTAGGATTTGTTCTGAGGGTGGGTCAAAGAGGATGCCATGAAAGGAGAGAGACAGCTATAATGCTGACTGTCAGAGTGCTCTTGGATAGGGGAGAGGGGATTTTTTTCATGTCACTGTGCTAGGACAGAAGGAGGGGACAGCTGGGGAAGAAAACCCAGGGACTAGTCTAGAAAGGTCTCCTAGAAGAAAGAGGTACAGAGAAGGGGCTGTGGGGAGGTCAGAGTGGACTCAGGATGAGGATGCGGCAGTATGAGGCTATCTTTGGCCACAGACTCTGCTAGGCCTGGCCCCCCATGAACGAGGGCTTATATACTGACTGAGCTAAAACCTTAGTGGGGACAGTTTCCCATGGAGGTCTCAGGATCGTTGGGGAGTAAGGACCTGGGGACCTGCCTCACTGATCCCTCTCCTTTCTCTTTCCTTTCCCAAGCCGTTGCAGAGCCTGTGGGGAGGGTATGTGGGCACCAGCCTCAGTGTTCCTCAAAGCAGGGCGTAATTCACAGGCACATTCCCCAGGCTGATGCCAGCTCCTTGCAGCCCAGGAATCCCAGGCGGCGGGATCTCTGGAGTTGGAGTGAGCAGCCTGTAAGCGCTTCACGTCAGGGCTGGGAATATACAGCTTCCCACAAACAAGGGGGGAAATCCAGCCCTATCAGCCTCCCCACCAGCCCCGCCCCCTCTTTCACTCAATCACCGGCCCCCAGCAGAATTCTAGAAGGGCTCTCAGGGACAATGCCCCAGACGGAGCCTCTGCTCACAGGGAGTGGCCACCATGGCCCATACCTCCCAGCACAAACCCCCTGCATACAGAACCCCAAAGACTCACCCTGCTGTGACCTACTGGAAGGTCAATGAAGGTCTGGTGTTTGTGGGGCCCCTCACTGCCCAGAGGAAGGGGTATCCACACTGCCCTGGGCACCTTCAGGACGGCCTTCCCTCTTCTTTCTGCCCCTCCGTGGCCTGGCTATTTGGGTTTTGGCAGGGCATGTAGACAGAATGTGTGGGAGAAGTGAAAGATAAGAGGCTGGGGATCTCTAGGCCTCAGGTCTGCGATGGGCCCACCTCTCTCCTCCTTCCCTAGTTCCCATATCTTGATTGTTAGGACCGGCTGCCTTAAAGAATGTTTTCCAAGGAACTGTCGGAGCAGGAAGATAGTCACTCCTTTCATTCAGCATGTGACATGTTTACAAGTGTGTGCCAGGCACAGTGTCTGACTCTGAGCTTCTTTCGGGGGATGCCTTGATTTGCAAGAACTGCTAGGATCTGTGGTCTCAGAGAACTGACTGTGTAGACGAGTACATGGATAACTACCATGCAGTGGCACAGATGCAGTGATAGAGGCCTGGACACCTCATCTAGCCTGCTTGACATTCAGGGAAGGCTTCCTGGAGGAAGGGGTATCCACATTGAGTCCTGGAGGATAAGCATGAGTTGGCCTGGTGAAGAGGTGGGGGAAATGAATGCTTAAAGGCAGAAAGAATAGAATGTGCAGGACCCTAAAGGCAAGTGCACATGACTGGAAAAGTACACTCAGGTCAAGAAAAGTGGGAGGAAGGAATGTACAGTGAGGCTGGAGAGCCCCACTCGTGGAGGCCATGGAGGCTGTGTTAAGGAACTTGAATTTGAGTGAAGGGCAATGGGGAGCCACTGAAGAGATCAAAGCAGGGCAGGGCCATGGTCAACTTTGAAAGACTAAGATGGAGGTTGTTGCCAGGGTTGGAGGCCTGGTGGGGACTGGGAAAGGGAACAGAGCGGGCACATTTGAAGACTTGGAAATCGCCCTAATGAAGGGCACAAGGGGGAGGGCAGGGCAGGGTGGTCCCCACCAGGCACTGGCTTTCATTTTTATCTCGTTTGGTCCCCGTGAGGTAGGTATCACTGACCCATACCAGAAAAGGCTCAGAGAAGCCTGGGACTTGCTCAAGGTCACACAGCTGGTCAGTCCTAGGAGAGAGATCTGCCTGTGGATCCTTTGGACTGAGGAAGCCTTGTTCTTCTGAGTTCTGGAACTGGGCCCGGCACTGTCATCTTCACCCCCATCCTACTTCTTGCCTTGCCCTGGCTTTTCTTCCCCTCCAGCTTCTGCCCCCCCAGCTCTGGTTTCCAGCTGGGACACCTGCAAGTCCACCGCATCCAACCAGTTCCCACCCCAGGGGTCTCAGAACAAGCCAGGGTCAGGACCTTCAACCCTGGGATATGCCGGGTGACCCAGAGAAAGTGGTTGTCCCCTGTGATCCTTGGTGACAAGGGAGCCAGAGTGTCCAGGAAGGGGGGCGGGAGGGCACAGGATGGAGAGGCCGTGTTGGATGTCAGAGCTTGGCCCCCAGGGAGCCCCAGCTGAGGTGGAAGGGAAGAGACGGTAGATGACAGCTCATTCCTAGCACCTAAAGCAGAAAAAAACAATAAGTGACCAGGAAGAAAGATCCAGGGGGTGAGCTGGGATGGGCTGGAGTGGGGTGTTCTGTAATGGGACTAGAGAGAAAGACTTCAGGGTCCAGAGAGCCAGGTTGACAAAAAGGCAGCTCTGAGCAGGTGTCCTTCAGGGGCCGTATCCGTGTGCATGGGAACCCCTCATGCCTTCCTCCCGTCACCCAGGCAGCAGCTCCAGCTATGACAATGGCTTCCCCACCGGAGACCATGAGCTCTTCACCACCTTCAGTTGGGACGACCAGAAAGTTCGCCGAATCTTCATCAGAAAGGTAACTGCCTCTCTCCTGCTCTCTGGGACTAGGAGTCAGGGGATGGGGTGGATAGAGAGACCCCTGGTGCAGCCCTCTGCCTGCAGAAGCCAACCTCTTCCCTCCTGGGATCCCAGTTGACAGCACCTGCTGAAAATTGGCTGGGACTCCCCCCCCCCGCAGGGGCTGCATTTCTCCTTCTTTCTCTCTGGTTCTGTGAACTGTGAAGGACAGATGCAGACATTGAACCAGATGTGGAGACCTGGGGTAAACCACCCTAGTCCCCCTGCTTCACCCAAGCACACATCTCTTCTCTCCGATGCTGTGAGGCTCCTTCTCCTGTGGGTCTGGGCCCTTAAGCATCTTTGCCTTTTCTCTGCCTTGTCCTGGGTCCACTTCAGTGACCTCTAAAAAGGAAGGTGCACAGGATACAGATCTGGAATGTCGACTGAGTCACGAGGAGCTGACATCTCCCGAGCCTTGCTGGAGGCCCAAGCCCACCTGGCCTCTAGCAGGGCTCCCCAAACTGAGCAGAACTCCCCTCCTACCCCCAGGTTTATACCATCCTGCTGATCCAGCTGCTGGTGACCTTGGGTGTTGTGGCTCTCTTTACCTTCTGGTGAGTTTGCAGGGTGAACAAGCAACTTCCGGGGGTGGCCGTGGCCAGGTCCAGAGCCAGGGAACCCAGACTTCTCTTGGAGAGATCTCTGCAGGGCCATGGACTTCTCATGCCAGGCAGGACCTTAGAGAGGGCACAGGCGTCCAGTGTGTGTGTGTGGTGGGGGTGGCCCTGGAGTGCCTTCTGGGACTGCGGGTGTCTGTGTGTCAGGCATTCCCCTCTGATCCTCTAGCTGCACACCCAGGCACCTGCAGGTGCCAGCCTGGGACTGTGGGCTGGGAATCCCCAACCTCCAGGGGCTGGTTTCTCCTCCTTTCTTTCTAGTCCTGTGAACGGTGAGGGGCAGATGCAGATACCGAGCCAGAAGTAGAGACCTGGGGTAAATCCTAACTCTCTCTCCCTCTCTTTTCTGCAGTGACCCCGTTAAGGACTATGTCCAGGCCAACCCAGGCTGGTACTGGGCATCCTAGTGAGTATTCCATAGTCTCCCAGTCCCCTTGCCAGCAGAGGCCCAGTGGCAGGAAGAGGGATACTCTGTGTCTCTGTTGACAGAGTCCAAGCCCATGGCTTCCCCTACCCAACTGGGACTGTTCTCACAGATCCCCTCCAGCCCTGCCCTCTTCAGCTGGCTTCAGAGCATGGTCAGAAGGACCTTTCTGGGTGTTTAGATCTGACGGGGCAGAGAGGAGATGGGGGCAGGTTCTGGTGCCTACACAAGTTGGGAAGGGTGGGGCGGGGGCCGTGGCTGGAGGAGACCCAGACCTTGACCCTAAGAGGAAGGGGGGCTGGAACATCTTGGCCCATACTAATGATAATGTTGCTACTCTTTTTTTTTTTTGAGTTGGAGTCTCACTCTGTTGCCCAGACTGGAGTGCAGTGGCCGCTCCCGGCCACCGCAGCCTCTACCTGCTGGGCTCCGGCGATCCTTCCGCCTCAGCCTTCCGAGTAGCTGGAATTACAGGCATGCGCTACCACGCCCGGCTGATTTTTTGATTTATTGTAGAGATGAGGTCTCGCTGCCCAGGCGGGTCTCGAACCCGCGGGCTCAGGCAATCCACTCACCTCAGCCTCCCAAAGGCGTGGGATTACAGGCTGAGCCACCGAGCCCGGCGTTGCTACTCTTATTAACGCTGTTGTTATTAGTGCTTACAAAATATTAATAATAGCTACCACTTAAAGAGTGCCTAATAAGGGCTAGGCGTTGTTCTGTGAGCCTGATGTATGGCATTTGGTCCTCAAATCTCCTGGGTATGATTACTCCAGAAAACTAAGGTTCAGAGAAATTGAGCAATTTGCCCAAGGTCACACAGCTCATCAGTGGCAGAGCTGAGGTTCAAACTCAGGATTCAGGTTAAGGCTTGTGCTCTGAATCCTCTGCCTGGCCTGGCTCTCTTCAGCCCTCAAGCCACTGGGCTCCTGCCTGTCCTGTGTTCTTTAAGGAACATGGCAGGTAACTCAGGAGAAGAGGTGTGAAGGTGTAGGTGATTCTGACCCTCCTTTCTGGGGAATGGGGCCATTCTGGAACATTCCAAGCCAGAACCACCCCAAGGCTCAGAGCAGAACTGCTCTGACCATAATCTCCCTCAGCAGTCATTGCGAACCCAGCCCATTCTGGGGCTGCAGGGGAGGTGGCCCCCGCAGGGAACGGTAGCAGGTGGTACCAGATAACTAGGAAGAGGCAGTGTTCAGAGGTGGGAGAGGGAAGGAGTGAGCTTAGCACACCAGAGCATGAGACTTGTATCGGGATGGACTTCTGAGGGTGGGCCAGGAGGACTGGGGATGGCGTTCCCAGGAGAGACGTGGCTTAAGCAAAAGCCTGGGTGTGAGAGCGCACGTACTACATTTGGTAGATTAGGCCTAGACGGGTAGAGAGCTGGAAGGCTCTGTGTCTGGGAATTCTGAGACATCTCAGAGAACAGCGGGGCCTTATGGGGCCGACTCTGACAGCCTGACCAAGGAGCTTGCACAGCACGGCTGTCCCAGGCCTCCTGGATAGGGAGCTGTTGGGGAGGTGGGCTCAGCCCAAAGGCCCCTGGACCACCCCGGGTGCAGAGCAGTCTCCGAGTTGGACCTAGAGTTAGCACAAGCCAGCCCAAGGCTGACCGGAAGGAGACCCATCCTGGCCTCGGAGGTGCCTCAGAGGAGCAGGGCTGGCTCTTCCAGTGGGGGATTTCAGGGGAGGAGACATTCACACGCAGAGCCTTTCCCAGGGCACAGGATAGAGGGCCTGTCGGCAAACCAGACAAGGAGGCATGTGGCTTGGGGAACTGAGAGGCTGTGTATGGTAAAGCTAATAAGACACCAGGGACTACTACCTGGGCCAGCCCACACAGCAGGTTGGCATGGCTTCCGGCACGTCAGCACTGCCTGGCAGCCTCAAACCCCCCCCAACTGAGAACTCGGGAATGGAGCCTGAGGCCCCTTTCTGAGCCTTCTGGGGGAAGGTCTGGTACCACCCACAACCAGGTCGTGCCCTTAGGCGAGGGTGGCAGGGAGACAACCAGGAATGAGCAGGCTCAGGAAGTGAGGGAAGAGTCCGCTCCATTGGGCGGTGGGGAGATGAGAGCATTGGGAGGGCAGAACTTGAGAATCTGACCTCTGAATGGTGAGATTCCCCTCGAGAGTCTCCTCCTCCTCAACATTTCCAGGCAGAAGACAGGGATGTTCTCTCAGGCTCAGGGTGGGTACGGGTGGAGAGAAGTGGGAAGTGGGCGTGCACTGTGTGCTTTCCACGGGGTGTCACAGAGTGTGAAAAGTGCTTCTGAGTTCCACCACCAGGATGCTGTCTTTTTCCTCCAGAAAGCCTGCCTGGGTTTCTGCCCTGCCCTGCCCCCTCCCCGCCCTCATTATGCCCTCTGAGTCAGCCTCGTGTCTGAGTCCCAGTAGGTCTCACCTCCTACAACACCCCAAATGCTCCTGGGGGCTCCGTCCTAGTCTCTTCCTTTTAGAATGTCAATCATAACAATAAGACTCAAGCAGCCCTTGTTCTGTGTCTGGGACACTGTACTGAGCATGGTACATATATTTTTTATTTGATCCTTTCAATAACCCTATCAGGCAGATACTATTATTAACCCTATTTTACAGATGAGGACACTGAGGCTCAGAGCAGTATAGCCAGGGCAGGAATCCAAGTGAAACCCATGCACTCAGCCTCTGTGCTCTGCTGCCTCCCTTGTCCTAAAGCAGAATGAACTGGGGGAGAAGACGGAGTTTGGACGTTGGCCTGCACCTGAGCCTCACTCCCCTGTCCTGACACTCTGTAAACAGACTGTGGTTCCTGCCCAGGCCCTGGGGCTCAGGCTCTGACTCGTAAATCAGTCTCTTTCACTTCTGTGACTCATTCTCTGCCCCTTGGGATGCCTCACCACTCCCCCCCTTCAGCCCCAGGTTTCTCAAGGCCCTCAGTCACCTCCCTCTGTGGATTCTCGCCTTATTGTCTGATTACTCCCACTGAGCCACTGTGTCTGCGGCAGTGGGAGGCTGGCGGCTGGGAGAAGCCAGGAGAAGAGGAGACGTGTGAGACCAGAGCTGGGGTGGAGGTGGGCTTTTCCAGGAAGCCCTCCATCAGTCAGCTTCTAATGATAACGACAGCTCCCATGCGGGGGGAGGGGGGGGGTCCTTCCCCTGTGCCCAGCCCTGTGCTAAATGCCTGAACCACATTCTCTCATCGGTCCTCCCAGCAGTTCAGTGAGTTGGTACCAGGATTCCTATTTTGCAAAGGAGGAAACTGAGACTTGGCTGTTGTCCAAAGTTATGCAATCGTAGTGGTAAAGCTGGAGCATGACTGCGGGTGTCAGGCTCAAGTGCTGCACTGACGTCCCTGGGTCTTCGGTCTCTCTGCTCTTTCTCTGGACCCATTGTCTTGAGGGTTGAGGAGCTATAGACCAGAGAGAAAAGGAGACCGGACATTTGCCCTCAGGAAGCTTCCACTCTGGCCAGGGAGACAGGACCCACACCCAGGATACACACAGACAAGGGTATCATTATTATCATTAGTGCTCAAGTGACTGACCAATGACTCAAGTGAGAATGAAAGAGAGCAGGTGCCGAGTGTTTCTCAAGTGGGGCAGGATGGCTCTCCTGTCCCACATGGAGCAGGATGTGTGGCAGCCCAGGGCCTGGCACCAATACCAGCAGAACTCCCAGTCACTGTGACAAGAGTCCCTCATTATTTGAGAACTGACAGATAGGAAAGGGCTGAGGTGGCGGAGTCCTACTCACCAAATCCAAGAGGCTTGTCGCAACCTCTGCATCCCCTTTTTATTATTATTATTTTTTGCTTGCATTTGTGCCAGGCTCCTAGCGAGAGGGTGGGAATACAAAATGAATATGTCACTGATGTGTGTAGCCCCCAGATGCTACACCCTGGTGGAGAGTCAGGGGAGCTGGCCCGTAGGGTGTAGGGGTGCAGGCCTCAGTTGAGCTATATCCATGGTGCACAAGCAGCCCCCTGATCCAGGCCTCAGGTGTGTCCTTATCCATCAGTCCTTTCCAGCAGGATCAGGGTCTGGCAGGCACATTTCGGGGGTGCAGAGCAGGTTGTGATGAGAGGGGCAGAGTGGAGGTGGGGGATGGCAGTCGTCCCAGGCATTCCCAGGTCTTTGGGGATTTCATACAGGGAGTCATGTGATCGGATCTGTCTGTCACCTGGGGTGGACGGCAGGGGTGCAGGCTAGAGGACCAGATGCACTCCATCTAGGCCAGAGAGAGAGGTGACCTGACCTCAGTGGTGTAGTAGGGTTAGAGGAAAGAGGGTAGACTTAGGAAGCCTCTGGGTAGGAGGATCAACAAGTCTGGATGATTAATTGTGTGTGGCAGAGTGAAAGGCAGGGATGATGCCGAGGTCTCTGGTTGGTGACTTGGAGGGCACATGCCATGTTCTGCTGCAGGGATGCAGGAGATGAGCAGGGAAGATGGAGATTTCACTTCTAGCCTGTGGAGAATAACTCATTTCTGAATAGGCAGCTGGATATGCAAGTCTGGGTTGAGGAGGAAAATACAGACCAGAACCTTGGGCGTGTGAGTCACGTGGACGGGTGAGCCCACCTAGGGAGAGTGTGCAGGAATAAGAGCCTGAGAAGACTCTGCCTTGAAGGAGCCAGGCTGGGGGAGACAGAGAAGGGTGGCGAGGGAGGGGGAGGGGACCCAGGAGTGTTGTCATGTGCAACCAGGTAAACAGTGGCAGGATCACATTGAGAAGTCTGGTAAGATAAGGACTGACAAGTCTCAATAAGGTCATCATGATATGGCAAAGCCAGCTCTCATTGGGTGGGGCTGAGGTGGCATTTGCTGGGCGGGGGATATGGAGAAGAGGGCGTGGTGAGTGGAGACCACACTGGGCAGGAGAGTGAGGTGCCTGGGAGGTTTGCAGATGGAGGAGGACATTGGGAATTGCTGCTTTGGAGGACAGGTGACAGAGTCGAGGCAGGAGATGGGAAAGGTTGGCAGTGCCCTTTTGAAGGCCCATTGGGGGTTGGAGACCACACGTTGGTGGTGACACTCACTTAGGTAGGTGTGGGCATGCCCTACCCCTGGGTCTTCAACTCTCATCTCCCACCTTCTAGACCGGCCTCTGCCTCCACTAGTCTCCAGAAACTTCTCCATCCCCAATTATTTTCAGGTGGACATGGCCACCTGATCCAGAAATTCATCCCACGGGTGCCACTTCCTGCTTGTGCCAGGCGCTGGCGGGAGAGACAAGGGCCCTGCCCTTGCTGAGTTTACAATCTAGCAGGCTAGCCCAACAAAAAGTAATGAGCAAGGTCGTTCCAGATCATGGTAAGGGCTGAGGAGGCCTGAATGGGGCAGTGTAGGTTAGTGGTTGTAAGCAGAGACTCTAGAACCAGAGTGCCTGGGTTCTAACCCTGCTCCTGCATCCTGGTAGCTGAATGGCCTTGGGCAAGTTGCCTGACCTCACCATGTCCCAGCTATAAACAGACTGGAAGACATGAGGATTACCTGAGTTGGTATTTGTGAAACACTTAAAACTCAGCCTAGCATGTAGAAAATACCGTTAAGGTAATAAGATAATGTCTGGGGAGGCCACTTTGGTCTCGAACTCCTAGCCTCAAGTGATTCTCCCACCTCAGCCTTCCAAAGTACTGGGATTACAGACCTGAGCCACTGCACCCGGCTGGAGACCACTTTGGATTGGGTGGCCAGGAATTGCTGTTCCATGACACCCAAGATGCACTATTTCTAGAAACAGGCTCATCCCATACCCCTTCCTATCTTTTGGAACTGGGCCACCACCATGCTTGTTGCCAGGTTCTAGGATGACCGTGGCCTCCCTCTTCCCATCCTGCCTGGCTGCCCTGTGAGCAGGGATAAGGGAGAGTGGGATGGGCAGCATATTGGGGAGGGGCTCAGGAAAGGCTGACTGACTTACCCATCTGTTCATCTGTCTCTCATAGTGCCGTGTTCTTTGCAACCTACCTGACCCTGGCTTGCTGTTCTGGACCCAGGTATGATAATGGCTGAAGGAGCAACTTGTGTATTCGAGCAATATCTTGAAAGTTCTGGCCCCAGCCCTGCCTGCCCCCACTGTGCTGTGCAACCCTAAGAGGACCCCCATGCCTCTCTGGGCCTCTGCTGAGCAACCCTGCCCCTCCCTTCTTTACTTGGCACCTCTGAGCTAGGGAGAGGTCGTATGGGCATATGGACACAGAGAGATGTGGTTGAAGGAAGAAGCTCCAAAGAGTATGGCTGGGGGTAGGCGAAGGTGACCCAGTCTGCAGCCACTTACCTCCCCACCCCTGAACTCTGTGACTTGCTTTGCAGGAGGCATTTCCCCTGGAACCTGATTCTCCTGACTGTCTTTGTAAGTGATCTGAGGGTGGGCTGGGGACAGATGTCATTCCCAGGGGGATGGAGGAATGGTGGGCATCGAGGGCCAGGAAGTCTGGACTGGGCTGTCCAATGTGAGGTCCTTGGCAGGGGTGGGGGGCGGGGGTGTTTTCACTCTACTTCTTCCTCAAAGACACTCCACCCTCTCTTTCTGCATGGGCTCCGTCTCCCTCCACTCTCCATCTGGTGTCTTTTTTGATGGTGACTTTTTTCCTCCCTTTTTTTTTTCTTGAGTCATAGTCTCACTCTGTCGCCCAGGCTGGAGTGCAATGGCACTCTCATGGCCACCACAGCTTCGACCTGCTGGGCTCAGACGATCCTTCCCTGTAGCTGGAGCCAAAGGCATGAGTCACCATGCCCAGCTAATTTTTTGAAATTTTATTGTAGAGATGCGGTCTCACCAAGTTGCCTAGGCAGGTCTCGAACCCGCGGGCTCAGGCAATCCACTCATCTCAACCTCCCAAGACGCGGGATTACAGGCTGAGCCACCGAGCCTGGCCAGTGATTTTGTTTTTAAGGGGTTTGTCTGGAGCATCCTAGGGCTATGAATGAATAAAGAAGAGTGAGGAGGGGGGTCTCAGAATGCGGGAGCAGGACTGTAGACAAAGAAAGGGGCAGTTGCCACAGGATCTCAGGGCTTGCCTTGGGGACATTCCTTAGCCAGGCCTAAAGTGAAGCAGATTCAGAGTTGAAAGGTACACACAAGGGTAGGACCTTGAGATACCTGGGCCCCAAGTCTGAGTTCCGGAGCATTCCTTCACCCTGCTTCTCCTTTCAGACCCTGTCCATGGCCTACCTCACTGGGATGCTGTCCAGGTAAAGGCAACAGGTGGAATGAGAGGAGGGCAGTAGGCCAGACTTGGAACCCAGGACCAATCGCACTGTCCTCTCTGAGAGCATTTGGATGGGGGAGGGGACTCAAACAGGCAGGAGCCCTTTGGCTTGCACCCCTCTCTGGGCGGTGGACAGTGGATGGTAACCCCAGGACCTGGCCAGGTGGCTTAGGGGGCGGGGGATGATGGGAGCAAGGTGACTTCTCTCAAGTTGCAGCTTACAAGTCCCTAGACTCATGATCCTCAGTTACTTGTAAACCTCCTCCAGACACAGCCCAAATCCTTCTCCACTCCCATCCCACCTGGTCAAGATCCTTTTACCATGATTTTGAGTCTTAAGTCTGTTGTAAGGGGCCGGCAGAAAGGCTGAGAGGTGTCGGGGGAACCCAGGAAAGGGCATAAGGTTGGTGCCACAGGTCCTGAGATCAGGTCCTGACAGAAGAGGGTGAGCCTATGAGGAGGGCTGGGGGAGACCCGCTGGCCTGCCTCGAACTGATTTCTCGGCCTGACGGTCCTCAGTTACTACAACACCACATCTGTGCTGCTGTGCCTGGGTATCACGGCCTTTGTCTGCCTCTCAGTCACCATCTTCAGCTTCCAGACCAAGGTCAGCTCTGGGGCCTGTGGGCAGGGACACCCGTCCTGAGGCCAAGCAGGGGAAGGCAGATGGGTGAGGGGTTCCAAGCTTGGACCCAGGGCTGGGAAGCGGTAAAGTGGGGGTGAGATGTGTCTGGGGAAGCCACTTGCGGGGAGGAGAGGAATGCCAGGGTCTGGGGGTAAGTGTGAGACTGCTGTGTGAGCTCAGGCTGTAGCTCGGGCCCCCAGAAAGGTCAGGCCACTCTGTGTGTGCCCAAGGGGCCTGGCAGCTGATCCTGTCCTGTCCCCACAGTTTGACTTCACCTCGTGCCAGGGTGTGCTCTTCGTGTTGCTCATGACTCTTTTCTTCAGCGGACTCATCCTAGCCATCCTCCTGCCCTTCCAATATGTGAGTCTTTGGGTCCCCGAGCAGGCCCCATGAGGAAGGAGGGGGGCCCATTGGCCCAAGGGTGCTGTTCCCTCCTACACCCTCCAGGGAAGGCTAGGAGCCAAGCCCCACAGCCTGCTATCCTGTCCGGCCCCTTCTGGCACCTGCCCCGGGCGTGTTGGCAGTGTAAGCAAACAAGGACACTTTTCTTGGCAGCCCAGGTGCCTGCCTGGCTCCGTGAACCACATCCGGCTTCACCTTTCCCATCCTCCTTTGCAGGGTGGCGGTGAGGCCAAGGGGAGGGGTGGAGCATTTAAACCCCAGGCAGGGAAGAGAGCACCAGGGCTTCTCAGGGCCCACCAAAACCAGAAGGACTTTGAGGAAGGGTCTTCTGGGGCCTCTGGGGGACCCGCCAAGGCCGAAGAGGCAGAATCTGGCTGGCCAGACAGGTGGGAGGTGGGGCAGTGGGGCTCGGAGCATACCAACCCATTAGAGCACCCACAGGCTGGTGGCCGAATCTTAGTTCATTTGGAGGCATTCGGCTTGCCCCGGGGAATCCAGATGGGACTCTGTGGGCACCCAGGCCATTGTCTGTGGAGAACGAGGCAGCTGGGGACACTACAGGAGGGCTCTGAGGTCAGACTCCTGGGAACCCCCTCCTGAGGGCCCAGCGCTTATACCCCTCACTCCTCTACCCCCCACAGCCACATTTGGTACACGGTGCCCCCTTTTCTTCCCCTACATTTCTAGCAGAATTCCCCCCCCCCACCTCCATCCTGCCAAGCCGCAGCTCGAGGCAGTTGGCGCCCAGTCCAGGACATCAGGATTGGTTCTGGCATTTCCTTGGCTCTTCCCAGGATCCTGTTGACGAAGGGAGGGGCCGGAGCTGGCCTGGGGGCACTGTGTGTATCTAGAAAGAGGGAAGGGTTGCAGGAAGGGGCCACGCACTTCAAAGAACACTTTATTGACCCAGGTCTGGCTGATGGGCACCTTGTTTCCAGGAATCTTCTGGGGGAGGGCCCCACAGAGGGCTTGGCCAGTGTGGCACCTCTTGCGGAGTTTCCACACACAGCTGGGTGCCCTTGAGATGGGGTGGGGAGGGGACCCAGGAGCAATGGAGGTGGAGGGTATTGTTCCAGCCGCTAAGGCAAGCCCATAATGCACAGCTGAATGGCTCCCCATGCCCCCCACCACACCCTAAGTTCAAGTCTTTGTCCCCCTCTGCCTGAGCACCTGGTCCCCAAAGCAGAGCCAAGAGCTCTCCAACAAAGGAATAAGCTGGGCTCGGTGGCTCAGCCTGTAATCTCAGCACTTTGGGAGGCCGAGGTGAGTGGATTGCCTGAGCCCGCAGGTTCGAGACCTGCTTGGGCAACTTGGCGAGACCTCATCTCTACAATAAATCAAAAATTAGCCGGGTGTGGTAGCGCGCGCCTGTAGTTCCAGCTACTGGAAGGCTGAGGCGGAAAGATTGCTGGAGCCCAGCAGGTCGAGGCTGCGGTGGCCGGGAGCGGCCACTGCACTCCAGTCTGGGTGACAGAGTGAGACTCCAACTCAAAAAAAAACAACAACAACAAAGAAGTAGATAGACCCCATACTAGACAGGGAAGAGCACCTGATGGGAGGCCTTGAGCAGGCCCAGACTGAGAGGATGACAAGGCACTCACCAACGAGTCACCCTTGTCCAGCTTGAGCCTGGACTGTGTGTCCAGGGAACAAATACCAGGTGGTTGGAGGCTCTTCTGCCAGTCCTGCCACCATCACTCTTATCCTGGGGTTCCCCTTACCCATCCCAAGCTCACAGAGAGTCGAGGACCCTACTCGGTCCTAGGGCTCCTTAGGGAGCACTGGGGAGGGCTCTCCCATGTCCTCCATCCTCTGGACAAGTCTTCTCCCTCCCCCTCTGCCTGCTGCCCCTTCTTGGCATCACTAAGCCCACCTTGCCTCTGCTTACAGGTACCCTGGCTCCACGCAATCTATGCAGTGTTGGGAGCAGGCGTGTTCACATTGGTGAGTGCGGCCCGGCTCCCTTGGGACCACCTTCTCAACTTTCCAACCATGGCCTCCTTTCCCTCCACTACCCTGTCTTTCTAACAGTTCCCCACTCTGGAACCTGAGCTAGGCTCAGTGCTGCATTCAGGGAATTCGATCTGGTTTCCAAGACAGTTCAGCTGACCTGGGGTGGGCGTTTGTAACCACAGGGCGAAAGCTGTAGACAGAGGCAGAGCTGGAAAGAGGTACCCTCTGGGGGACCCTCCTGGGGAGGGTCAGTGCTACTTGTGGTGGATCAGGGGAGTCCTGGTCATGTGAACCAAGTTAGTGGTTGCTCTCCCAGGGGTAATCTGGGAAGGCTTCCTGGAGCTAGGGAGATTCCAAGTACCCTGTGAGAGACACACAGTTAAACTGAGCTCGGTCTTTGCTGTTCTCACCAAACTGAAAGTGTTGATGATGAACACAGTTATAACAATAATAGCCAATCATCACTGAGCATTTGCTTTCCCCCAGCAAGCTCTCCATGTGCGTTTAATCCTCACCATATGTCTATATGATGGGTTTTACTGTTATTAAATTCAAATGAGGAAACTGAAACTCAGAGATATCAAATAACACACTCAAGGTCACATAGCATCCTAGGAATTAGGACCAATGGGAACCGGGATTGCCTGGCTCCAGAGTCCCACTCAGCGTATGAGGCTAGGTGAGGAGTGGTTGGAAGCTGATGCCCAAGACACAGGATGTGACAGGGACAGACATCTGCCTGGAGCAGCCCAACACAGGCCTTTTGCCTAGGTGGGCTCCAAGCACTTGAATGTGGTGGGGGTCCTGGATCCACCCAGGTGGGCAAGCTTGGTGACATCCTCTTGGGAAGGCATTCAGAGTAAACATTCATTGTCAACAGAAGCAGTGACCAGACTCTCCTCTCCCTCCTTGGAACGTTCAGCTCAGCTTAGTGGCCAGAGTTCCGGGCCTAGTCACAGGTGCCAGAGGCTTGTGAGTGAGAGGCTGGGGAGCTGAGATGGGGAGCCAGTGGGGTCAGAACTGTGATCAAATGCATTGGGGGAGTTGGATAAGCATCAAGGCAGGAGTGGGGGTGTGGTGGATTCATTCATTCGTCTACCACAGGTCTTTGCCGAGCACCTACTATGTGTGAGGTGCTGTGCGGCGTGCCTAGACCCCCGGTCCACAAGACGAGCACAGAGCATGGCACCCAGCAGCACCCAGAAAATACTGGGAATGAATAAATGACCTCCAGGCTTAGAACCTGAGGGCTGGAAGGGGCTAAAAAGGGACCTAGTGAGCTCTAAGCTCTTTTCTTACAGAGAAAACTGAATTCCAGGGGAGTTAAGTGATTTGTCCAAGGTTTCCTGGCAAGATAATGGCAAATCAATTAAGTATGGCCTTGGCTGGTCAAGACCGATGCCGACATATCCCAGTCTACCTAGGACTTCCCAGATTTGGTAATGGATGTTCCACTTCTTGGAGGATCTTTAAATCCCTGGCAAACTGAGATGGTTGGTCACACTAAGACACTCACTTCTTCTGGCTCCTGGGCCAGTGCTCTTCCCTCTAGGCAATACTTTCTAAAGAAAAGCTTAGAAGGATGGGGTGGGGAGTAGGGCTAGGAGGGAAGGAAGAGTGAGCCTAGGTAGCAGCGTCTAGAGACCTCAGAGGGTAATATTTGCCGGGGCAGAAGAGGGGTCCAGTCAAAGCTAATGGGCTCAGGAAGTTGGGAGGTATCCACAGGGGGTCGGGAGTTCACTGGGCTTCATGGGAATGGAGTCACAGCAAGTGTACGAGCCATGTGTGGGTGCTGTGCTGTGTGTACAAGTCAGGCTGGTTGAACAGTAATCCCTTAAGTTTGTCTAATAATCCCTAGTGTCACTAGAATAATAAAAAGAATCCTCACCAACCATTCTACCCTTTGCATTTTACAAAGTACATTCACACTGTTATCTCTTGGGATCTCCACGTCTCTTGGGAGGCAGCACTCATGCTGGAAGAACTTGCTGTCCACACCTGAAGCCCTGGCCATTAGGGGGCTGGCACAGGGCATAGAGTCTTTCAGCCAGTAGGGGACCGATTTAGGACCAAGACCTAGGTGTCCTGTGTCCAACCTGGTGCTGTTTCCAGTGCCCTTGCAGTCCCCCTCAAAGTGGACAACTTTTTTTTTTTTTGAGTCGGAGTCTCACTCTGTGGCCCAGGCTGGAGTGCAGTGGCACACTCATGGCCACCACAGCCTTGACCTGCTGGGCTCATGCGATCCTTCTGCCTTAGCCTTCCAAGTAGCTGGAACTATGGGCATGAGCCACCACGCCCGGCTAATTTTTAAATTATTGTAGAGATGGAGTCTCACCAAATTGCCCAGGCTGGTCACGAACCCGTGGGCTCAGGCAATCCTCTTGCCCCTGCCTCCCAAAGTGCTGAGATTACAGGCTTGAGCCACCATGCCCAGCTAAAGAGGACAACTTCTGTAGGCTTGGAGTTGGGGAGAGACCGGGGAGGTCTCCCCAGCAATTCTCTCTCTCTTTCTCTGTCTCTCTCATCATCATCAGTCTTGCCCTCTCTACTGGGTTAGTCCCATCAGCATAGGAACATGCTGGAATTTCTCCCATCTGAAAATAATCCCCACTCTTGGCCCGCCTCTCCCCGGCTCCTGCCCCATTCTCTGCCCCCCACATATAGCAAAACGCCTTGTAAGAAGAATCTGCTCTCATTTGCCCAGCCTGTCTCCTCCATCTCTCTTCCTTCCCATCTCTCCTCACACCTCCTCTCCTCTCGCTCTCTTAACTCTCTCTTAACTCTCTCAAGCGTTCTCTCACCCAGATCACCAATGGGCTCCATGTTGCTAAATCTGGGATCAAGTCTCAGTCCTCATCTTGCTCGCCTCTCAGCCGCATTTGATGCAATGGTTCCTTCCTTCCTCGCAGAAGCATCTCCAGGCCACTACCCTCCCCTGGTCTGTCTCCAGCCTGTCTGATCCTACTGCTGGGGGCCTCCACCCTCCCTTTCTTCCCTGCTCCTTCAGGAGTCTCAGGGCTTCTCAATGCTTTAAATGCCAGGTTTTATGCTGATGACTCTAAAATTTATATCTCTAGCATGGAATGAATTCTCTCTCTTGAATTCCAGACTAGAATTTCCAATTGCCTAGTCAATGTCTCCATGTGGAAGTCTAATAGGCACCTCAAACTTAACATGCCCAAAATCCCAATCTCCTACTCTTACCCCAGATGCCTGTTTCTCCCAAAATCATCCCCATCTTCTAGTCACTCAGGACAAATGCCTTGGTGACCTCTTTGACCCCTCCCCTCTTCTCAACCCCCACATCAGGCCCAAGAGCCCATCCTGGGGCCTCACCACCTACCTAGAATCTGACCACTTGTCCCCACCTTCATGGCTACTCCCTGGCCTGAGTCACTGTCACCTCTGGCCTGGATAGTCATGATGGCCTCTTATAGGTTACCCCTGCTGGCCCCATGGTCTATGCCCAGCACAGCAGCTAGAGTGAGTTAGGTCACATCATTCCTGTGCTGGGCGTTCAGCACTCGCTTCCCTGCAGGCCTTCTGTGACCTCTCCTGGGCCCTTCTGCTGCAGCCACACTGGTTTCCTTGCTGTAGGCTCACTCCAAACCCAGGGATTCTGTAGCTGTGATTGCCTCATCTTCTCTGGGATCCACTCACAGCCCTCTCTCCTCCACTTCAAGTGCTTGTTTCTTTACCATCCTGTGTACCTGGGTGCATACACATTGCCACCCCTACTTCTTTGCTTTATTTCTCTCTGTAGCACGTCTCATCCTCGGACACAACATATATGTTTCTGATCTGCTGCTCAGTGCTTGTCTCCCTCCAGCAGAATTTAAGTTCCTTAAGGGCAGGGATTTCTGTCCAGGTTGTTGCAACCCCAGCACCCAGAACAGGGCCTGGCACACAGTAGGTACCTAGGAGATGTCTACGGCACAAATGGATGTCTGGAAGATGCGGCCCAGGGGCAGGTCAGGCCCACAGAGGTTCGAAGTGCGGTCAGATCAGGGCAAAGAAAGTCCAGGCAGCATGTTGAATGAAGCACTGCCCTGTGAGTCACAAGAGGACCAATTACCTCTTGGAGAGCAACACACCAAAAGGCCTTGTTAGATCATCCTGTAAGTTATATAAACAATGGCTGAGAGCATGGGGAATGGGGGGGCATGAATGCCCCAACTCCATCCCCTACCCTCACTCATCTGGGTCACAGGAAGGAAGACAGCTCCTCTGAGTCCCACGGGACAGAGGAACTTTGGGAGGGACCGCTGAACAGAGTCCCCTGCCCTCCTCTTAGTTTCAGGTGGACAGAGACTCTCAGAGGCCCAGCTCCCTAACTCAAGTCCTGGTGCCTGCCCTTAGCCCCAACTCAGAAAAATTTTGTGGCTTCATTGTGACTCCCCCTCCCCCACATTCTGTCCTCTCCCTCCAGAGCCTTTGGGGAATTCTCAGCACAATGCAGAGGGCACCGCCAGCACTGCAGCTGTGCAAGGGTTGCAGACTGCACTCAGCCATCCCCGCCCTCTGCTGTCAAAGAGGATGTATGAAAATAAAGAGAAGTGTCAGAGGAGGCCCCAGGCCTCCAGTGGGACTGGGACCCTTCCTCCCAACTCCCGCCAGCCTGGGCTTTGGAAGGGCTGTGAGAATCTGGGGCTTTTTCTCTTCTAGAAACTTCAGTGCCTTCCCTGAGATTCTGCCATCTTTGAGGCCAGGGTCACCCACCTGGATGGGGCTGTAACTTAAGGGTTAGGGAGCCGAGGCCCTTAGAGCTCTGGTCTAGCCTTGAGGAATAGGCCCCTCCTGGTACATTCTTAGGAAGCCTTGGGTTTCTGGCCTCACTCCTACCCCATACCCGCCCCCCATTGGATGCTGGGACCCAAATGCCAGTAGAAGTGGGTGAGTCAGCTGAAAGGAACTGGCCCTGGAGAGGCTGAGTTCTCCTCTTCCCTCTAGTGTCCTCTCTGTGGGTGCTTTATCGTAGAAACTTGAGGAAA